TCTGTGGCTGGCCCCTCACCCCACTTTCGCTTGAATACTGTTCAGTCTCCTGCAGTTCCTAAACGTTTTCTGAGTGATGTGTGCCAGGTTCTTTGGAGACAGTAGTGAACCAGACACATGCTCTGCCCTCAGGTGGCCCCCAATCTAGGGATGGAGACTGACCCTGCGGGTAGTGCTAAACAGGGGCTGCTGGTCACAAAGGTGGCACAGGCTTCCTGATGCAGTGCTACCTTGTCACTTCCTGTCACATCATAGCACTTTTGATAGCTTCTCATTTATGTGCTTGTTTATTGTCCGTTTCTCCCCTCTGGAATGTCAGTTCTGTGATAAAGGAGTCCTTGTCCACCTTGTCTGGAACAGTAGGGGCCAGTGACTATTTGTGGAATAAAGTAAACTGTGTCAGCAAGTGGAGGTCTGGAGGTCGGAGTTGGTGTCGTGAAAAAGGAAGGCTAGGTGAGAGTTGAAAAGTGTTCTAAGTAGAACATAAGATACAAAGAAGCAAAAGGCTTGGGAGTGGGGAGGATCAGAAAGCAAGAAGAAAGGTGTGAAGTAGAGATGAGGCTGGAGTTTGATATCCAGGAATTAGGATTTTGTCTAGTAAGCAGTCGGGAGCCACTGAAAGCTTTTTAAGTGGGTTACACGGATTGGTTAGATTTATGTTTAAAAAAGAAGGGAAGAAGGGAGGGAGCCAGGAAGGAAAGAAGAAAGGAAGGGAGGATGAAAGGCCAGCTGCCACTGCATGGAGACTGAAATTGGAGAGGGCAATAGTAATGAGTCGAGTTCAATTACAAGGTTAGTGTCAGGCGTTCCGGCCAGAAACAATGGAAGCCTGGCGGAGAAGGATTCTGAATAGAGAGATTTTTTTTTTTAAAGAGTATGAATGAAGGGAGGAGTCAGGAATGCCGCCTCGTTTCTGTCTTATATGATTGGGTGGCTTTAGGTGTCACTCAAGAAGATAGGCCGCACTGGAGGTGGGGCATAACTGAAAGGAACGCCCCTCCGTGCCCCGCCCATTGGCGGCAGGATGGCGTCGATTGGCTCTTTCGAGGAGCGCGCCAAAAACTGACGGGGGCACGTGGGAGGTGTGTCCCTGCGTCATTACCGGGAAGCTTCCGGGACGCCCTTTCCCGGCCTCCCCAGAGCCGGAACTTCCGGCCGCCGCCGCCATTTTGACTTCCCGACCTTGGGCTACTGTTGGCCACTGTCTGCAGTCATTCCTTGCGGTCATGTCTGTACTGACCCCGCTGCTGCTGAGGGGCCTGACAGGCCTAACCCGGCGGCTCCCGGTGCAGCGTGCTCAGATCCATTCCAAGCCTCCGCAGGAGCAGCTCGGGACCATGGTGAGGAGTGGGCCGGGAAAGGCACGGGAGGTGCAGCTAGCCAGGCTGGGGGTCCCGTGGCGAGTTCGGGGATGGCCGGTCTGGCGTGCTGCCCCTCGGCGGCCCTGAGCGTGCCCTGCACCTCGCGGCCCGCAGCCTAGCAGGGAGCAGCAGTGGTTTGGGGGTGTCTGGAGGGCGCGAATGAGAGGGACAGTACCCGGGCGACAGTTGGGGCTCATTCAACACCAAATCTCGCTCGATTCAGCATATTTCTGTCGCTTACGTGCGGTGCAGCCTCGAGCCCTTAGTCCTCTCTGAGCCTGTTTACTCATCGGCTCATGGGGGTTGCGTAACGACTGTCAGCGGCGATAATGGTTGTTACCACTGTTAATGATTAGGGAAGGTGGGTCTTTGTAATTTCCAGAAATGTGGGAGTTTAACCCTTAACGACTCTCACCTGTTTGGCGCTTTAATGCATTTGCCTCAGCGGCAGAGCTCCGCCTCGAATGCGAGTCTTCAGAATCCAGGCTATTGGGCCCCAGTTAGGAGCAGAGCCTGAAGGGCAGCTGCGATTGAGGAAATAATAGTGATAATAGTTGCAGCTGGCATCTGCCGAGTGCCCACTGCCTGCCAGACACTGCCCAGACTGCTGCGCTGGTCCCAGTGACCCTGAGAAGAAATGACCATCATCTCGGTTTCGTGGTGGAGGGGACTGAAATTTAGGAGCACCGTATCCACTTGTCAACAGTCAAACCTTCAGTGGCAAAGAAGGAATTTGAACTCAAGTCTGACTCCCAAGTTGTGCTGTGATCTTTACTGCAGTAGGGAATGTGGAGGTCTTTATCCCTAGCCTTAGAGGTTGAATAGCAGTCCTGGAAAGGAGAAGGGAAGAGAGATGTTGTTAAGATTTTATTTTTAAGTAAGCTCTACACCCAGAGTGGGGCCCCAACTCGCAGTCCTGAGATCAAGGGCCGCATGATCTGACTGAGCCAGCCTGGCACCCTGAGGAGAGGGGTTTTTAAAGGCAAAGAAGGAGAGGTGCATTTTTAGGGTTATCAGCCTGTGCGTGGTTCCTGGATCCCAATAGATCAAACAGGTTTAACTCTTTGTTCCTGTCCCTTTGCTTTATCATCTCGTGGTGGATTTCTCTATGGATCCTAACACAGGCTGGCCCCACTCCCATATCTGACCCTTCACCTCAAGGCCTAGAGTGGGCCTTGGATCTGCTATGCCCCTCCTCTGAAGCCTGAATCCTGACTCCTTGAAAGGGGCTTTCTGCTGCCTGGTAAGCCTAGGGGAATTCTTACTCTGCGGGTTCCTTCTTTCTTGTGGTCTGTAGGAAGTCGCCATCGGGCTCACCTCCTGCTTCGTGTGTTTCCTCCTGCCGTCGGGCTGGGTCCTGTCACATCTGGAGAGCTACAAGAAGCGGGAGTGAAGGGGGCTGGCCTGTCCCTCACCCTGTGACCTGACCACCCCTGGCCTCTCCCGATCAGGTCTGCTGCATTCCTGGCCAGCCTTCCCTGGATCATGTCCTTCAATTACAGCGACCTCTTCTGCAATCATGACCTCTCGATGTCTCCGCGGTGACGCCCTGGGACCACATATGTTAGCGTATAAGGCCCTGCTCGGTAGGGCCCTCCTTGTAACAATAAAGTGTATTTAAACCTTGCTTCAGAAACGCATCGTGTCTTCGGCCCGGGCTCCTGCCTCTGTACTTGAGCTGAGGATAGTGTTGGGCGGGGGTGTGGCGAAGACGGCCTGGCCAGCCGCATGTCCCTGCTGGCTGACTGTCCTGTGGTGGGTTATGCATGCCCTGCTGTTCTTGCCGCCTGGAGGTGGAGGGAGCTTCCCCTGCGTGCTTTCCTGTGTTTCAGCGTTTTCTGGCTTCCTGGGAAAACAAATCCTGTCGTCCTTGGGCAACCTTTCCTTGCTCCTCCCGTCTGGCTCCAAGCTCGGGGCCACGCCGTGCATGGGTGTCCGTGTTCTGTCTTTCTCGCTGGGTCCAGCCCTGCAGCCGGAAGCCCTCATTGTGGGTGCAGCCTTCCCCTCGCTCCTCGGCTGTGGGCTCCCACTGTTTCTCAGGAGCTTCTTGGTTCTTCCCAGTCGGAAGGTGGGCGCTTTATCTCTTTCATGTCAGCGCCAGGGCCCCTTTTAGTCTTCTATCCGGAAATGCCTATGGACTGGCCGCCTTCCTCGTGCTGCCTGCCTGTTTCCCTGTCTCCTGCCTTTCTTGGCCTGGAGAATTTGCTGCTCCTCCAATCCCAGGGCCCTTCCTCAGGGATGCTTCCTGCGGGGGCGGGGGAGGGGTGCTGGGGGGGTACCTCCGCAGGTGGGATGATGCATTAAAGTGCTCCACAGTGGATAACGTGGTAGGTCCATTTCCTGCCCGTGACTCCTTCCCTGAGGGGTACGGACTTGGTTGTCTGCCTCCTGCGAGGCTTTCCTGCCACACAAACCAGCCTTTATGTCTGGGCCTCAAGGGACGGGGCCGAGAGTGCCGGGAGGTTGTGCAGATTGGGCTGTTGGCCAGGGGAGGGGGAGAGCCCATGTAGGATCCGAAGGGCCAGGCTGGGTCGGCTGAGCAAGGGGCACCCACCAGTCACCTGCTGGTACCTCGAGAGCCCTTGTCTCTGGCAGGGAGGGACCTCTTGGCTGCATCCTCCCAAACAACAGGGTCGCTCCTGTCTTGCGCCTCACTCTGAGAGGCTTTGCTGTTCACACTTCCCGAGCAGAGGGCTCTGAGCTACTTGGCTCTTGGTTGGCTCAGGTTTCCGGTGGGCACAGATCAGGCCTTGGAGCTGCCGTGAAGCAAGAACATGACCCCAGAAGAGAATGGTCTGGAGTTTCTAAGATGACACCACTGCCCTGACAAGAGTTTTTATTGGGTGTCCCCCATTTTTGGGCCCCTGGAGCCTAGAGGGCCACAGTGTTCCCCTTGTCCCGGAAGGACAACTCCAGCCCAAAGCTGCGCATCTCCAGCCACTGCTCAAGTTGATGGGAAGCCAGTGGTTATGGGCAAGTCCTTTAGGGCCCCCGAGTCTGAGAAGGCCCTTAGCAAGCCCATCAGCAACTCTGGCTCTTGCTCTCCCCCAGCTTGCGCGGTCCCACGGCATACGTGGGGGTGGATGAGAGAGTGTAGGGTGCAATCATGCTTGAACCCCATGCTCCCCTTGGTCCCCAGTGCGGCCACTAGGTCTGAAATCTGGCCACCATTCAGTGTCCCTCTCCCATTCTTAACCAGACTGGGGCTCTGGGTCCATTCCCTCCAGAGACACAAGGCTTCTTGCACTTCCACATAGTACTTTATGAGTCCCTGCTGTGGGTCCTGTTGGATCCGGAGTCTGGAGGAGTAGGTGCGTTTGGCCCCGGGAGTGCACCCTGGGTCGGGAGAGGCCGCAGTCCCGGTAGATGCTATAATGTCAAGAAAAGTACTGAGAGTCAGGAGGCCTGGGTTTGAGACCTGGCTTGGTCATTTGTTACCTGACCTTGGTCAAGTCAGTTAGCGTCTCAGTGTCAGTTTTCATGATTGTCAAATGACGGTGACGTGGAAGGCAGGAAAACGTCCCCTCAAAGAGGCCCATGCCCTGGACCTTTGCAGGTGTGATGAGAGTGAAGCATGTTGAGGGGCGCCTGGGTGGCGCAGTCGGTTAAGCGTCCCGACTTCAGCCAGATCCGCGATCTGTGATCCGTGAGTTCCGAGAGAAACCCCAGCGTCGACTCTGGGCTGATGGCTGGAGCCTGAACCTGTTCCGATTCTGTCTCCCTCTCTCTCTGCCTTTCCCGTTCACTCTGTCTCTCTGTCCCAAAAATAACGTTGAAAAAAAATTAAAAAAAAAAAAAAAAAAAGTGAAGCATGTTGAGATGGGAGATTCCCCGCTGTGATCACAGGTGTCCTTAGGGTGGACAGGAAAAGCAGGTGATGAGTATCTCAGAGATGCCACCTGAGAAGGACTTCCCCCACTGTTGCTGGCTTTGAAGATAGTGGGTCACGAATTAAGGAATGCCATGGCCTCTGGAGGCTGAGGACAGCCCCCGGTTTATAGCCAGCAAGAACACGAGGACCTTAATCCTACAGCTGCAAGGAGCCGAATCACCAACAACCGGCATGAATCGCAGCAGATTCTCAGAGCTTCCAGAAGGGAACACAGCCTGCAGATACCTTGCTTTTAGTCTCGTGAAACCCATACCAGACTTCTGACTCTAGAACTGTCAAACTCTACATTTGCGTTGTTTTAAGCCACTAGATTGGTGATTTGTTACGGCAGCAACAAGGAGACTAATGCATTGTCCTCCTTGTGCCATGAGGCTCACATGGGAGGGGCTGGCTCCAGCGGATCGGATCCTCAACAGACAGAAGTGACCTGGAATGTGAACCATTTACAGGAGGACAGTGCCCAAATGAGGAGGGTGGGGATTGTGGGTCTGGTGTGTGTGTGTGGGGGGGGCTCTCCGTTGGCTATCACCACCCGCTCTAATTGCTTTCTGCTCTAGGTGGCCCGGACCCTGCAGGCAAGTATCAACTGAGCTAGCAGCTTCCAACGTGTAACCCCTGCTCGGCTTCACCAGTCTGCCCTCTGCACCATCAAAGCCTCTCTAGACCATGATCGTGGAGTGGACTGTCTGTGGACCATCACGGGTTCCTGTGGCAACAGCTCTAGAGGTTCTCTTGGGGCCGGCACACCCCAGCTCCTCCCATCTGGGCAGATGCCGGACTCCCAAGCCCGCCTTGGGAGGGATTACTGACCCCTCATCTGTGGTCCACCTTGAAGCCTTTCTCCTGGCCATGGCCTCCCTGGGGGACTGTGGCTGTCCTAGGACCTGTGCTGTGTCATTGTACGTGGCCTCCCCCACCGCCCCCAGAGGTGAGAGTGGGTTGTGGGCCTGGGAGCCATGGGGCCCCCTACAGCCTCCATGCTGTTCCGTAAACTCTCCCTCTGGGGCTGAGCTTTCAGTCTGGGTCCTGGTATGGAGTCTCTTCTCCCTCCACCTGACAGATTCCTTCACACATGGACGTGGGGTGTGCCGGCAGGACTAGGAGGAGGCGTCTGCCCTGTCAGTACGATGGAAAATAAAGTCCTCTGCCGTTTGTCACCTTTGTGACTGTATTTAACAGCAGTCCGAACCCAAGTGCGAACATGACGTGTCTCGATCCAAGACCCGGCAGTCAGGGCCAGCAGCACTGGACCATTTCCGGATTTGGTAAATTGGGAGATGGAGATAAACGCCTGGAGCTATGCTGGTGACTTCCTGGCAAACATGTAATTGGACTTCAGATGCTTAGGATAGAGAATCAGAGCCCATTTTAAAATGGTAAGAGTAATAGAAGAGACGGAGTGAGGGTAAGAAAACGGTTATTAACTGCCAAATAAATCAGCATGGAGAAGACCGGGCAAAAGCTGACCATCCTGGGCTAGGTTAAGAGCCAAAGCCTCCCGTCTGGCTGTTTCCTTCCAACTTTTTTTTTTTTTTTTTTAAAGATTTTATTTTTAAGTGATCTCTACACAAAACGTGGGGCTCAAACCCACAACCCCAGGATCAAGAGTCCCACATTCCACCGACTGAGCCACCCAGGCACCCCTGTACATCGGTTTTTCAAGCCCACATCCCCCAGGAGGGAGGTATTTACTTGGTGTTAGCAGCCTGGCTGTGGTCCAGCACAGGCTCACCACTGGGATTCCTTCTCACTCTTCAGAGGAGAGGAGAGGATTTACCAAATCCGGTGTTCCCTGTCCTGAGCATTAGTCCGGAACCCAGCTCCCCGTGTCCCTTTATGCCTCATCGACTCCCTGGTCAAAATAAGAGGGCAAAGAGTTGAAGTTGTCTTATGGCAGTTTTCAAGATTTTGAAAAGCCAAATAGAAATCATGTCATCAACAGTCTTAGCTCTCCATTTAAGAATACTGCTTCTAACTGAAGATCTGACTGCCAGTGAAGAGATTTCAATGTTAACACTGAGAAAAGGAATGAACATTTTGGCAAGCGTGGGTCCAAACAGGGTGGACCCTTTGCTTTCCTGAGCTTAGAAGCAACGCCAAGGCTCAATGATCCAATAAATAATTTGCAGTGTTGCTGGAATACAAATTTGGCATTTGCAGTGATGTGGTGACAAGGCCACCGTGGGCTGTGTGGTGAGCCCAGGCACCAAGGGCACCTAGCCCAGGACAGGAGGTAGCTCATGAAATGAAGAAGGCCCTCGACAGTGAAACGTTGGCAAACTGAGCCACACGCTGTAACTTCTCTCAACAACAGCATCTTTGACATCCAAAGCCTTGCCGCTTAATTTTTTTTTTTTAAGTAATTCTCTATCCCAAAACGGGGTGCAAACTCACCACCCCAAAATCAAGAGTCATGTGCTCTACTGACGGAACCAGCCTGGCACCCCAGCCTTGCCACCTTTTAAGCTTTTTATTTTTGGATAATTCACAGGCAATTTTAATAGGCTACACAGATCCCATGTACCTTTTACATTGATAAATCTTGCAAAATGATAGTACAGCATAAACCAGGGTTCACAGTCAAGATATAGGACATTTCAGGGGTGCCTGGCTGGCTCAGTCCGTGGAGCAAACGACTCTTTAATCTCGGGGTTGTGAATTTCAGCCCCACGTTGTAGAGAGATTACTTACAAATAAAATCTTAAGGGGTGCCTCCTGGGTGGTTCAGTTGGTTAA